TTTTTGTACAATTCTGAGCAATAGCAAAATCCATTTTCAATTAAGAGTGTAGCATGGGATGAACTCAAGCTTTGCACAGGGAGAAATAAATGTATTCTGCAAAATAGGAGGGATACAGGGAGCTGCAATACAAGATAGATGCAGCCAGCATGGAGAAAAGCAAAGTCTTCCTAACAATTAGTACCTAAGACTGAGCATTTGAAGCAAGTGAACAAATTAAGGTTTAGAAGTAAAGACCTAAGGACTGAACCACAAATCAGACATAGTACCATATATGGCATAAGACTTGAACAACTTGGAACTAACAGAAAAGAATCCAGTTCACTAAGGTTCTTCCATGGATTGCAGTGAGAAAGAACTGGAGACATCTCAGCAAACATTGCACATCCTTTATCATTAGTTAGATACAAGTGTACACACTGAAAAACAAACAGTTTTTATCAAGTGTGGGTTCAAATTTTCTACAACAGAGCTCTTCAAACCTGGTTGCACATTAACAACAACCAAAGTCTTTTAAATATGTCCATGCCCAGGCCACCCTCTGTTGTTGCTGTTGTTATATGCCGTTGAGTCAGACCCGACTCATAGCGACCCCTCCTTGGGTTTCCAAGGCAGTATCACTATGGAAGTAGATTGCCCCATCTTCCTTCTGAGTAGTGGCTGGTGGGTTTGAACCGCCAGCCTTCTGGTTACCAGTCAAGTGCCTTAGGCACTACACTACCAGAGCTCCTATCTAAGACATCTGGAAAGAACCTAAGGTCAGCGAAAGGATTTTGGATTATCAGATGGTTTTAATTTCAGGGTCCTTGTTCTGTTCTAGTAAGTGTGAATCAAGAATTATTTAATGTACGTGTAGTAGCTCTGGTGGGCTGCCAACCAAAAGGTTAGTGGCTCAAACCCAGCAGCCACTCCATGGGAGAAAGATGAGGCAATCAGCTTCCGTAAAGATTAGATAGCCTTGGAACCCTATGGGGTAGTTCTATTTTGTCCTCTAGGGGCACTGTGAGTCAGAACCAAATTAACAGCAGTGGGTTTGGCTTGGGCTTTGCTTCAGTAAAGACTGACAGCCTAGGAGACCCTATGGGGCAGTTCTACTCTGTCCTCTAGGGTCACAATGAGTCAGAACAGACTCAATGGTGGTGAGTGTGAGTTGGTATGTCTCAATGGGATTGCAAGATTGAGCAATAAAAATGCAGAGCCCCAGTTGAATTTGAATTTCGGATAAACAGCAAATAATTTTGTGTTATTATAAGCATGCCTCAAACATGACACGGGCCATAATTAGCCTTAAAAAAAAAAAAAACAACTGAAATTTCAGTTTAGCTGGGCATCCTGTTTTTCATCTGGTGGCTCTACCCCTCACCCCACGTGAAGCTTTCTAAAACTAAGCTAATTTATTCATCATCTGAATCTCTTGTTTCTAGACTTGAAGATGTTGAGGACTACTCTCATTTCTTAGAAAGCTTATTCATGCTAACTAAGTCTGTCTGGGGCTTGACAATATGGAGAATCTCCTTGAGAAAGGCCAGTTCTGCCTGAGGGCTTACCCAGAACTGTGTTGGTATCTTGATTATGATAGATGCCCATAGAGTGGACCTTGCTTTTGTCTGTTTTACATTACTTCTCTCCTATGCTCTGGCTGCTCCTAGCTTTTAAGAAGGTTAAAGGCCAAACCCCTCGATATCATCCTTTAGTTGGGTGTTTTATTATCAAAATCACATTTCATTAGGGTGTTTCTCCCGGTACCTATTGGGGTGGTCTGGGAGGTTCAGAGTATATAGTAGTTATTATGTATCTTTGCTGCTCAGTGCCTGGGAAAGCAATAATTCACACATGAAGAAAGGAAAATAGAATTAACCTTTGATTACACGTATTTGTACTAGTCCCCTACTAGGTTACATCCCTTGATGGGGATTGCCATAATTTTGCCATATTCTCCTGGTCAAGGACTTAACAGAACATTGTAAAATATATATCTGTGATATTAAAGAAGAAAATTCTGATTTGGGGATTGCCAATGTAAATATTAATTCATTCCATTTCCCTTTTGCTCATAAAATATTTCTGTTTCTTTGCAGCAATTTGGTAAAATCTTAGATGTTGAAATTATTTTTAATGAGCGAGGCTCGAAGGTAAGCCACTTTATTCACTTTGGAATTGTTTAGCTTATCTTCCAATGTTTGTTATGTGCGAGGGGAAACAACTGCACTGTTTTAATCAGCACGCTGTGAAAATAGCCTTCGGTGGGAATTTCTGTAGGGACCTCCTCCGGTTCCCAAAATGGTGGGAAATGCATTGGACTCCATTTAAAATGTATAAGGGGATCATTTTAAGTTGCTGCTATATGTATTTGTACATCAAATTTCCAGAGGAAAATTACCTGTGCTTAAAAAAAATAATAATGATATTGCTACATTTTTGTTTTTCAGTGATAATTATGTTCTTTATGTTAAAAAGTGAGTTGATAGTCTCATGAGCAGGTAAATATGTGATTATTCTGTATCAATAAAGTGCAGTTATTTTCCTGGGCTTCGGGGGAGAAAAATCTCATATATACCAACCTTTTGAATATAATTTTATTCATTAGTATGTTAACCAATCCATGTTTTGCAATTTGCCATTGCTTTGAGGGTTTTTTTTTTCCCCCAGGAAACCAATTTTTAAATTGATTTTCCTAGAGTCAACGGTGTTTGGTGTTTGTAAAATTGAGGACTCTATAGAAAGGCCTCAACATACATTCAACATGAAAATACGTTGGGAGGGGAAAACAAACAGCTAAACATGTCCAAAGCATCTTCTATATCATTGATTGCCTGATATCAGTGAGGTCATCTCGGAGCTTTTTATAAGTGGAGATTCTCAGGCCCCACCCAAGATGTACTGAACTTGGTTCAGAAACGCTGAGGGAGCAAGCCAGCAGTCTGTTGTAACAAACCTTCCAGACCAGAGTCGCTGGGTGGAACAGATAGTTAAGTGCTCCACTACTGGCCAAAAGATTGGCAGTGTGAAACCACCCAGAGATGCTGACGAAGATAGGTGTGGAGGTCTGCTTCAAAAGGTCACAAACCTTACAAACCCGATGGAGCAGTTCTAATCTGCAACACACGGGGTCACTGGGAGTCAGAGTCAACCCCATGTCAGTTAAAAAGTAACGTTCCACACTTGTCCTTAAAATTATACCCACTGTATCTTCCTGTTTTACACAAAGGTTGAGCTTTCTTTTTCTTGAATGCAAAACACTGCTTTGCTCATTTAGTGATTGTCTTAGTTACCTGGTGCTCCTATAACAAAAATACCACAAGTAGATGGCTTTAACACACAACATTTATTTTCTCACAGTTTAGGAGACGAGGAGTCCAACTCCAGGGCATCAGCCTCAGAGGAAAGCTTTCTGCCTCTGTCGGCTCTGGAGAGGCTCCTTGTCTCTTCAGCTTCCGCTTGCTCCTTAGAGATCTCCCTGTGGCGTGGTGTCTGTCTTCCTCCATCTCTACTTTGCTTCCTGTGCTCCTTTTGTAGCTTGTAAGAGGTTGGCTTGCAACACGCCCTACACTCATCCCACCTCATTCACATGGCAAGGACAACCCATTCCCCAATGGGCTTATATAACCACAGACACAGAGGTTGGGATTCCCCACACGTATTTTGAGTGGCGTACAGTTCCCTCCACCACAGTGGTATGTATTTCCCTCCTTTCTGGTTTGTTACTTCTGCTAAAATGTCCCCTTTCTACTTGACGCTGTGGAAATCTCAAAAGCCCAAACTCTGAGGGACAACCAGTGCTGTGGGTATACCTGCTGGGTATAACAGGGATCAGTCCTGAAAAATGATACAGATTTAAGTTAGAGGCTAGTAAAATACTGTATGCACAGGTACAAGCTTAGGTAAGGGAGGTTCCTGGGCTAGTAGGTTATTAAAAAAAAAACTCCTCAGGTCCAAAGTTTCTTCCTTTCAAAAAAACCTCAAATACATTTTCGTGAAACTTAAGGGACTTTGACATGAGTTGGTGAAATATATAATAATGAACAATTCACAACCAGTCAAAAACTTGTTTCAAATAAAAACATATGTGAAAAATCGCCAAAAAGCAAACCTACTCTCATCTGTGGCCATTTTCTAGAAGGACAACAGAAGGGTTTTGCTCTAACTTTGCCAGCCAGCTCCAAAAAAAGAAAAATGATCATTTTTCAAAAAATATATATGAATTAATGTTCTTAACAGATTGGTTCAATAAACACCAGTTTGACTCTGTGTTACAATTAAAAATATATAGACATTGATCCTGGCCTTAAACCGTTGTGGTCCAGTCCATTCTGAGTCATGGGTGGTGCCCTAAGTCCATAGGGCTCTCATGACGATGACCTCTCAGGAGCTGACTGCCAGCCCTTTCTTCCTGCGTGCCTCCATGGTGGTTTGAACTGCCAGGTCTTCAGTTAGTGATCTAGTGCTTAGCCCTTTGTGCCACCTACTCAGTGACCTGGATATTAACCTTCAAAACAAAACAAAAAACCTATAGCCATCGAGTCAATTCCAACTCATAGCAACCCTGTAGGACAGAGTAGAACCACCCCACAGGGTTTCCAAGGCTGTCAATCTTTACAGAAGCAGACTGCCTCATCTTTCTCCTGTAGAGTGCTCTTGGGTTCAGTAGCCTTTTGGTTAGCAGCCAAATGCTTTAACCGTTGCACCACCAAGGCTCCTTGCAACCTTGTTGTTGTTGTTGTTATGTGCCATGAAGTCGGACCCATCTCATAGCAACCCCTCCTTGGGTTTCCAGGGCGGTATCACTGCAGAAGTAGATTGCCCAACCTTCCTTCCAAGGAGTGGCTGGTGGGTTTGAACCACCAGCCTTCTGGTTAGCAGTCAAGTGCCTTAGGCACTGCACTACCAGAGCTCCTCCTTGCAACCTTAGCAACCAGAAAATGAACACTTTCCATAAAACAAAAATGTAGTACAACAGGTTTTGCTGTGCATGCTGCAAATTTATCACCCACCAGATGGTCAGAATCTGTACTCTTCCTTTAAGAATCCTGTGATTGTGTAAGTAGATGATGAGAACTCACCAGATTCTGAGAGATACTGGTTAAAACCCCCATTACTTTCCTCACACAGACAACTGGGGATAAGTCACTAACTAAGAAGACTACTGAGAAAAACTTGTTTTCTCTAAGGGGCTGTTGCAGGGCAGTACCAGCCCTCTTGGATCCAGCAACCACCTCCTAAGAATGGCTAGTGGGCAGCTCCCCCACTTCCTCAGAATGTGGGTACAGTGTTAACTGAGTAGGACAATGCAGATTGAATTGGGGGCAAGGCACCTCCAGCACTCTCCCTTCCCCGGCCACAATGATGTTGGGGTCGGCCACATGAGCATTAAACAGACCCTCCATTTTACTCTCTGGTTCTGTTAGTTCAGGGAACTTGTTCTTTTATAATTCCCGGTGTTCTCCAGTCACTCTTGTAATATGTCAGCAGTTTGACCTTAGGCATCTGGTATGAAAATCACCACAGGCACCCTCTCCATACCTGCGAAACAGAGTCCACGCAGCGAACCGCGTGCCCCGCCCAGTGTTTCCCATTGAGGCCTGGTGTATTCTTGGCAGCGTGGCCCGATGCGCGTCTCACCCTGTCTGTGGCACTGCTGCCTTCAAAGCTGTCTTTGTTGTTTTTTTTTTTTTTTAATTTGTATTTAATTTACATTTTGTTTTGTAACTTTTGCCAGGTGGAGAAAGCGATTTAATTCCTTTCGTGAGCTGTTTTGGGACATTGGAAGGATATTGTGAGCTATTTGAAAGTACAATGGCCATGCTATTTTTAAGACGTCTTCTGTCATTCCCATGATCAGATGGGCTCTGGGGGCTTAAGGAATAAAGCCGTTTAAATTTGCCACAGTCAGAGCTGAGCTTTGTTAAGCTGCCATTTATTTATTTATTTAAATTAGCAAACATCAAAAATAGCCCCTCTCTGTAGGTACACCCCTTCTGAAAGAACTGGCCTTGAAGGGGTGAGAGCCGATGGCTGGAGAGGGCCTGGAATGCGGGAGTGTTCCCCAGACGGCCCAGTGGGGAGCCTTTAAATAGGGGCAGAGGATCCTATGGGGATATTTTCATATCTGACATTTTCCTTCATGGGAAAAGACCTTCTGTGAGGGGACATTTCCCTTTTGATTACTGAACCCTTATTATAACCTCGTTCCCATCAGGGGTTGCTGGAGAGGCAGAGAGGAAAGGGGTGATCCTTTAAGAACTAAGATCTCATCCACTGGTTGTTCTTTCTGGGGACAGTCTTCTGATGCATGGAACTCAGCAGTCAACGAAGATCATGTGCAGATCATGTGTGTGTATGTATATATATGTATGTGAATGGACCTATACTACAATGTAGTGTGTGTGTGCATGTGTCCATGTATGGATGCATGTTTTCCTCGTCTTAGCTGATCCGCTCCTTTACCAAACACAGTGTCCTTTTCTAGTAATTGGTGTTTACTGATGACATGTCCAAAGTAAGTGAGTCCAATCTCATCATCTTTACTTCTAAAGAACATTCTGGTTGCCTTTCTGCTCAAACTGATTTGTTAGTTCTTCTGGCAGTCTGCAGTATTTTTAATATTCTTCACCAACACAGTTCAAATGCTTCAATTCTTCCACCTTCCTTTTTCATTGTCCAATTTTCACATGCATGCAAAATGATTGAAAAGGCTGGGGCTGGGCTCCCATGCATCTTAGTCATCAAAGTGACATCTTAGTTTCTCTTCTTACTCATTAAATGGGTGACCGGCCCATCAATGCTAGGGAGCTAGGCTTCTAGGTAAAGAAATGATGATTGTTAAGCTCCCAATATGTGATGTGGACCATACCTCCACCTCTAAGCTCCAAACACCTGAGTCAGATAGATATTCACCCCAGAAACTTGCCCTGCTCAGTGGGTTGTGCTATAAAACAAGCAATCTAATATTATGCTTATTATAAATACACCAGAAGTCTTTTGATGGTGCTTAGTGATAGGAGCAAAGCAGGGTATCACTTTGAGGACTAAGTCGTACCTGATTCAAACCATGGTATTCAAGCCATCAAATACGGCAAAGCTCTGAAATTCAGTCTTGGTCCATTGAAGAGCTAAGTTTTCAAAACTTTTTAAGTAGTGAGTGTTCTGAGGACCTACTATGGAGGCCCCTGGGTGGTGCAAATTTTTAGTGCATTCAGCTGCTAAACCAAAGGTTGGAAGTTCAAGGCACCTCTGGCCAGGTGACCTACTTTGAAGAAATCAGCTATTGGAAACTCTGAGTCACCAGGAGTCTGAGTTGACTCAATGGCACCCAGTTCAAGAAGAAGTGGGACTTCTCTATGGTGGAGTACAGAGCCTAATATTAAAGAAATGATTCAAGGCTCTTTCTAATCACAGATCTTCACTATTGGATCAATTTTAAAAGGTGATTCAGTCTAATCCTTCAAATTAAAGAAACATGTTCTCTATAGAACCCTGGTAAATGATCATCTCGTCTCATTTGAATTCACCCAAAGTGTTCTCGGTAGTTGACTGCATTTTCACTACTGTAACGCTTGCTCTTCTCCCAACCATTGGGTACCATCTCCCGAATCACAATTCATCTTGGAGGTTACTAATGCAACCTAGTGAGACACTGGAACTCAACACCCATTAGTTATGGTCGTGGATTACTTGTAACTACTGTCTGGTTTACTACCGAAGTTTGTATGCTGCCCTAATTGGGCTTAATTTAAAGCCAGTGTTGTCATCAATTATCTAAGGCTTACCCAATTGGAAATCGGGGTCCCCAAAATCGCATTATTTCACCTCGTTGACACTGTGAAAACCAGAGGGAGCTGGGCAAATTGCCAGTGGATATGTTTCAAAAGGTTGGTGTATATTTCTGAACAAGATGTACAAATATTTTAGGGGTTTAAAAAATAATGTGTCATATTTTCTGTACTCTTCTTAGGAACAGTGTCAGTGAAGACAAAGATGGATTTTGCCAATATGAAGTTTAGTGGGGTTTTTTGAGGCTGAAACACTAAAAAGCAAAATGTTGCAATGATGAAGCTAGGGGTATATTTATTATCTGTTAGCAGAGGAGGAAATGCTTAGGGTGTTATTGTCAATAACATTCGACTAACAGAGCTGGTTCACTTTTCTACCTATTGGTATGATGATTGAATTACCAGCCTAATGTCTTAGACCTTTACAACATGTATACACATTTCCCTCTTTGGTTAATAATAAGGTAGCACCGAATGTTTACAAGTTCAGAGGCCTGTGTGTTCTTGGGGGCTGGGGGTGACCCATATAGAAATGTTACTTGAACTGTTTGCATTATTAACCAATTGAAGTTGATTTCTATTCATTTCATGTGATTCTTTTTTTGTTTGTTTATTAGATCAAAGAGTTTAAGGTGTATTATGAAAAAAAAAAAGGTCTTTCCTTTTTTTAGGCTTTTAATTTTTATTTTTGAGAAGTAAAGGCTGTAGAATTGACCAATTTGAATAACCCTAAAACTGCATGAAGAAAAAATGTTCTTAAAACCACACAGCATGTCTCCGTAGGAAATGTTAGAGGACTTTGGCGTTTGTTGTTGAATTCTGTGCACATGTTTTATTTTATTTTTCCTTTATTTTTAATTTGCATGTCAAGAAAGTGGTCCCCTTTTTTTCCCCCCTTGTTATTTCATTTTCTCCTCTGTGAAGACACTGTAAATTTATTTTGATCTCATTTTCTTTTCGTTAGATTTCTTTCCTTCTGTAGTGACATTTAGAATGGTATTTTTAGTATCCTTCTTTGAATTCTTTGGGGGTTACAGCTACCTGGTGACAGGGAAAAAAAAAAGGAAAAAGAAAAAAGGAAAACTTTGTTCACATTTATTGCTTACTTATTGCACATCTTAGTACTCTTATAATTTCTCTAATTTGCATGTTACAGAACTGAAGCCAGGACAAGAAGTAGAAATTAAAGCGAGAGAACGTTACAAAGTGGTCGTGGATTGAAATATTAATCTGCATGTTGTTTTCCCTTCTCCCTCCTGCATGCAGGGATTTGGTTTCGTAACTTTCGAAAATAGTGCGGATGCCGACAGGGCGAGGGAGAAATTACACGGCACCGTGGTTGAGGGCCGTAAAATCGAGGTGCATGTTCAAAATATTTTCCTTTTCATCTTTTTGATAAATGTCTGCTTCACGCTCATTCGCTGTTTCAGATGTATCACCAGTGTCTTGTATGTGACCCTATTCCCTTCTCATTGTTTATATATATAATATACTTATATATAAAAAGGAAAACTGGCCTGACTTTTTTTTTTTTTTAATTTCATTTGATGTTACTGTTATTACTGCTGAAAAGGTGGATGGCAAAAGTGAGACAAAAGAAAGGTTAATCTGAAAGTTGTTTCTTCTTTTTTGTTCATGTTTTGTAATCGATGGGTGCAGTAGTTCCAAATGGTAGAGTCAACGTTGCAAAAAACAAAACAAAATACAGAATAGTTTCTTTTTTTTTTTTTTTT